TGTGGGTTATTTTTAAAAAGAAGAAAAAGAGGGCTGAAGTTGGGAGGAAGACATTTTGGAAGGGGTCTTGGGGAGTTGGAAAGGGTATATATGATCAAAAATACATTTCATATATACATGGAATTCTCAGTGAATGATTTTAAAATATGTAGAAAAAAGAAAAACAGACTAAGATATTCGTCCTTTCCATGATGGTCAAAATGTTTTCTTTTCTTTTTTCTTTTCTTTGTGTGTGTGCGTGTGTGTGTGTGTGTGTGTGTGTGTGTATGTGTGTGTGTGTGTGTGTGTGCCATAGAAGCCAGAGAAGAGTGTCAGATCTCTTTGAAGCTGAAGTTACAGGTGGTTGTGAGCTGCCTGATATGGGTACTGGAACCCGAGCTTGAGTCCTCTGCAAAAGCAGAAACCACTCTTAAGCACCACGCCATTTTGTTAGCCCCGCCCCAAAGGGGTTTCCAATGCTTACACTCCACAATACTAATGTGTTCCTCAACAGATCCAAAGATGGTTTTCCATGTTACCTAGCAAGCACACTTCATGTCTTGGAGTTTCCAAAGGGAAAACCATGATTTCACATAGGACACGAGTGATTTTCCTGTTACTATCTTAGCTTCAAACCCTGTCCCACTGAGACATAATCAAAGGGCTCACATCACCTCCTCTCTCGTAGGCCCCTAGTAAGTTCCAATGCTATCCCCACTTTATATACAAGGAGGTCAAGTTTGAGGAGACTAAGGAATTTATCAGGGAGCCTGGCATGGTGGCACACAACTTTAATCCTAGCTCTTGGGAAGCAGGAACGGGTGGACCTCTGTGATCCACCAGCCAGCCTGGTCTACATAATGAGTTCCAGGATAGCCAGGGGTATAGAGAGAGACTATGTCTCAAAAGCAAAGCAAAACAAAAACAAAAGGAAAGAAAGAAAGGAAGAAAAAGGAAGAAAGGAAGGAACTTATCAAAGCACTTAGCTAAGGGCACTCCAGTAAAGGGTTTGAACCCTGCTAAAAACATTTCTTCTCAGTCCATGTTCTGCTGCCAGGGGGAACATTGTGTTTGTTCTTGTAAAGACCATAAAATCTGCACAGAGATAACTCAGTGGTCGAGAGCACTTGCCTAGCGTGTATGATGGACTAGGCCTAACCTCTTGCCCTGAAAAGTTTAAACAAATAGTAATAAAATCTAAGTGTATCAGCACAGAAAACTAAGATAATTCAGACTCAGAGAAGAAGACTGGAACCTAAGAGAGAACTGATCCATATTTTGAGGTCCTGAATGAGTTAGAAACAGAGATCAAACCTGTGGAGTCTCAGACAAGTTCATTCCTTGTTCCTGAGGTATGGAAGGTTCTGGAAGGACACTGCCCAAGTTCAACATCAAGGGTGCTTCATCAACTTTGTTTTGAGAAGTTACATTACCAGTCTATGTCTCAATTTCTTTAAACACCTGGTCAAAGTAACTACTCCTTTACCAGGTTCTGTTCATTAGTGAGAGACTGAAATAAAAAAATTGTATGTATGTGTATGTGTGTGTGCTCCAGCACGCATATGTATGTACACATGTGGTGTGTGTATATCTGCTCTAGATGTGTGTGTGTGCACATGTGTGCTTGTGTGTGTGTTTGTGTGCATGAATGGGTGTGTGTATGCATGTGCACATGTGGTGTATGTAATGTGGTGTGTGTGTGCAATGTGTGGTGTGTGTGCAATGATGTGTGTGTGCAATGTGTGGTGC